GCCCTCAGGGGCCCCTCTTCAGGGTTACGCTAACTTTACATGTTTCAAGATGAGGGGTATGATACATGGCAAGCAGATATGGCTAGGATGACTCTCTTCCCAAAATATATAGTGAGGCACCGCTCCTATTTCGTGGTAGCTATCATGTTGACTTTTTATTTTATGTTGGTCGGGCATTGGCGCAAATATTATGTTCTATTCTTGGTATAGAGGCTCTATAGATAGTTGTGATGAGTTGTAGTAACGGGATGGTACACGACACATATAAAAAGATATTTATTACATTTGATCTCATTATTATCATGAAAGGCGTCATATGTGATTTTGAATTGGAAAAGTATTTCATCATTTAACTTGAAAATATATATATGATTTTCAAAGAGCTTCCACGGTTAAATTGATTTTCATGCATATGATTTGGGTGCATCATATGGTTTGGTTCGCTCGGGTCGGGTAGTGTGTCGGGTGTCGGTCACATGATTTTGGGTTGTGAAACAAGTAACCCCCATAAATGGTACAACTCAGGCAATCAATTATGAGGTGATCTATGCATCACTACAAGTGACCTTTTTGCTAACTATGGCGTATGTTTTTAATATTAGAGAAGAGAGAAAACCTCTATAGAACTATTTGGAATCAGTAAATGTATAATAGTCAATCATGGTTGATCATGAGCAACTTTAATTTTGTGTTAAAATAGATGACATAATTGGTGGAAATCCAGTGAGTATGGCTGAAGTATTTGAATATTATGCGTGTCTGGAGAATTGTGGATTGATAGAATTATCCCTGCTGGGAAGTACATATACCTAGAGTGATAAACAAGGTGAGAATAAAAAATACTCAAAGATAGATTGTGTGTTTGTAAATAATGACTAGTTAGACCACATGCCTGCTTTTAGTACTAACTTCCTTCCTGAAGGAACTAGTGACCATTGTCCAGTAACGATAGCTCTTCTCAGTGCACCAAGAAGAGCCAGAAGAATATTTAAATATTGTAATGTCTGGTTTAACCATCCACAATTCCTAGAAAGGGTGAAGACTGGATGGCAGCATGCGTAGAATGCTAGAGGTGGTGAGAAAGCTTAAAATGTTTAAGAAAAGTCTTCGGAGTCTTAATGGTCAGTATTTCAGGAGTATAATCACTGAGGCTGATGAAGATGGCAAGCAATGTCACATGCACAACAAGCTTTGTAGTTGAATCTTAGTGACCTGGTTTTGTAACAGGAGGAGAAAATAAAGTGTCAAAAGTTTAGAAGATGATCATATCTAGTTGAAGTGTACATGAAGCAAAGAAGTAAAGCAACATGGATCGAGCTAGGGGATGATAATACCAGGTATATCTTTTTAGTACTCAAGCATAAGAAGCTGCAATAGGACATCATTCAATTGAAAGATAAGAATGACGTGCTGCAGATAGATCAGGAAGCTATTGCCAATATATTGGTTATTATTATCAGAAACTTTTGGCAAGGAAGGAAAGGGCCAGAGTTACAGTTAGTAGTAGTGTTCTGAAGAATGGTTATGTGTTGTCCAACAGATGGTCAGCTGCAGCTATTAAGACCCTACACTGCCAAAGAGATGAGAGATGCAATGTTTAGTATTGACAGGACCAGATAGTTATGGCAGTAGTTTTTTCAAGGATGCATGGAATATAGTAGGAGAGGAGGTCACAGAGGCAATTCTGGAGTTTTTTTATAATGGCAAACTCCTCAAATAGCTTAACTCAACAGTAATCACTCTGATTCTTAAAGTTTCAGTCCCACGTGATGCTAGCCAGTTTAGGCCTCTATATCTTATTGTAATGTGATTTACAAATATATTTCCGAAGTTATCTATCGAAGATTTAAGGGTGTTCTGCCACTTATAGTGGATAAGTGTCAGGCTTTATTGAGGGGATATCACTAATGTTCTCATATATCATGCCTTATTAAGGCACTATAACAGGAGACATCCCTAGATGCATAATGAAGATACAATTGAGAAAAGCTTATGACATGGTAAGTTGGGACTTCATTGAGGAAGCACTAAACGGTTTTGGTGAAAGATGTAGGCAGAAAATATAGAGACTGCCTATGGGAAAGCTCTGAAGAGAGGAAAAAAATAGCGTTGGTCTCATGGGATAAGGTCTGTGTTCCTAAACATCGAAAGTTGCAGGACATGGAACATAGCTTCAGTGGGGAAACTGTTGTGGCAATTGGCTGGAAAGAAAGATGCCCTTTAGGTGAAATGGGTCAATGAGGTCTATATGAAAGACACTCAAGACATTTAGGATCATACACCACCACATGATTGCATCCGGTATTAGAAGAAATTGAAATCCTTGAAGGAACTGATGATTAATCGGTACCATAATGGAAAATACACTCTTATTTTAAAAGAGAATTATTCAGTGACTGGAGTTATTTAGCTATGTTGAGAGGTCGTACTAGATTAAAGGAGGTTGACCTAGTGTGGAGCGCAGTAATGTTTCCAAAACAGAGAATGATAGTATGGTTAGCATATCAAGAGATCAAGAGAATGATAGTATGGGCATTATATAATGAACTTCTTATAAAAATAATGTCCCAAGTACTACATGTGGAGATAAAACTTTCAATTATATTGTCAGCATTCCTGCAGATGCATCTTTAAAAATAAAATTATTTAACTCATGCATACTTTTAATGCATGGGTTTCAATTTTCAACCCATGCTTACTTTTAACCATGGCAAGTAGTAGTAATGAAGTTTATGTGAAGAAGGCAGATCAAGTTTATTTTACTAGAAAATTCAGGCCAAGGGGAGAATTGTAAGGGTTTTGCCTTGAATTTTTAGTCTATTAGAACTTTCTTTCTTGAATGAAGGGAAAAAGACTCCTAAAACGAATAAATCTCCTTCATAACTTATCCTTTATTTGGAGAAAAAGTTTTGGACATCTATAAATTGAGAATCTCCGCTTCTCACAATAACAATAAATATCCACAATGTAGTCATTAAAGAGTTTTGTTTAGGAAGGGAGGGGGGAGGAGATTTTTTTCTCAATAGTTTTTTTTCTTTTATACCAGGTTTATTATGTAGGTTAATTGACCAAACCATATTAAAGTTTTACATATTTTTAGTATAAATCTCTTTGTTTTCTGATTTGTCGTCAACCAAGCTTCTCATTGTTAGCTTCCGCATGCACTATATTATTTCGATCTCAACAAAAATCTCATGATCCAGTTCTTTAGAATTTGTGTTCCTTCATTAATATGTTCTACGGGTGGCAAAAAGTGGCCCAAACCCATTTGACCCGCCCAAGTTTTAATGGGTTGGGCATGAGCTACTTTAATGATGGGCTAAGTTTGGCCACAACCCAACTAAACTCATTTATTTTCACTAGCTCAAATCAGCCCATGATTTCAGCCCAAATTGACGCATGAATACCAATTGCCCTTTAAAGCTTATAAGGGCGTGTTTGGTATGAAGGAAAATTTTTTTAGAAAATGAGTAATTTTTCACTTATTTTCTCATGTTTGGTTGATGAATGGAAAAAAAATTTCGAAAAATATTTTGGTTAGAAAATCGAAAATACTTTTTAGGAAAATAATTTTCTATGTCACTCTCCTCAACCCCCCCTCCACCCAAATTCCCATGGGTCTTNCCCAAATATCCAATATTTTCACGGCTTTATTTTTTTCAAATATTTAATTATTATTTTAATAAAAATTCACACAAAATCAAAGGAACTAATGTGCTGCTTTACTTTTTCGCACAAGAGTAACGTTTAAATTTGAGTTTCATAACTGAAAAGAAATACTCTTTTTCTTTTTGAAACAAAACAAAAGTACTTTTTCTACAACATGAAAAGAAATTACTCATTTATTAAAATAAAATAAAATATTTTTTCTACAACGTGAAAAGAAAGTATTTTTTTGTTGAAATAAAAGAAAATATTTTTTCTATAACATGAACGAAAGTACTTTTTCTACGTCATTAAAAAAATTATTTTGTTGAAATGAAAAAAAAATACTCTATTTACGACATGAAAAAAAGTACTCTAAATAATATTTCTATCTAGCTCAGTAACAACTACTCTCTACCTTTATAATATTCTTTCTGAAATTAGCATTAAGGCTTGCAGAATTAGCTGAACAACTTAAAAAACTGATGGGTTATGCATATGCATGATATCTATCGGATCCACATAAATGTCGATATTGGTGATATATTTACATGTGGGGTACAACTTTATCTCTATGTTCAACAAAACAAACTACAAGTACTTCTCCAAATCATGCAAATAAAGAGTAATTATTGAAGTAAGCTGAAAATGTATTTGGCTAAGATCAATGACGTAACACATTCAAAAAATATATGGTCTTTCTTAGGAAAACGAGATATCCACAATATTATATGAAAATAATACTACATGCATAACTCAACCGAAAGGGAAATACATATAGAAGACAGAACACATGTAATTCAAGCATGATCTTCAACAGAATGGTGAAATAGATGTTCAATAAATACGTTTAACCACAACATTAGAGAAGCTAACATATAAGTTTTGAATGTGTTGTTTCTAAGATATCAAGTGATATTTTCATCAAGGAAAGTAAAACAGGCGTTATGCTTTTTTTCTTTAACCAAGTTTTTGTCGAATTGGATTCTTCTGCCAAGACTTTTAATGAGACAATTAACAATGTATATTACTAGATATGTATACTTTTTTTCTTTCTTCGATTTTCTCTAGTCTTTTCCAGTAAGACTTTAACGAGACATATTATCTATTAATTAACATTCAACAGGGGAGTAGTAAATAATAATATTTGTGAATGTCAATTCCTCGTATGATTAGGTTTAGCGAAGTTTTCTGAAAGGAAGTTAGTACCTATTGTTGGAAAACAAGGTTTTCATCTCCTATAAATAGGAAGCTTCCTTATCCCAATTGTATCATATTCTTGAGAATAAGAATCTCTACATTTTTCTCTATATATCTTTCTTCTCTTCTCTATTATTTTATGACAAAGCTTTAAATAGCCACTAAGAAACAGAAAATAAAATCTACATAATAAATATTCAACAACCTAAAATATCTAAACAGAAATTTAAATTTAAACATAAATTGGTAGACTATTTCTACAACTAAAATATTAATTGTTCCACTTATAGAGAGCCTTAGATCTAATATCTGAACACCCTTAAGAGGGATCTTCATAGAAGAGCACAAAATCCTACACTGTCAGATAGAACCAGAAACTCTGGAGAAAAACAAAAATCAGTCCATTTACTTCAGTGTTCATCATTATGCAGGATTCCAACAATGTGAACTGCTGAAATGCAAAAAGTAAAGGATTTAGAGCACCACTATACAGACTTGTATCTTTCCGCAGAAACAATATCTACCTTAGCTTAGGGTATTACTGCTCATCTTTTCCAGAGTAGTAGTAGCGGAATACACCGGAGAAGTCCTTTGCCTCGTGACCAATATTGCAGAGCTCTGAGAAGCTGCACAGAAATGGATTCCGATACTTAGAAAACATTTAGTCCAACAGACATGTTAATGACAAGAAGACATGTTATAATAACATGTTGTTTCTAGCAGAGGCGGAGCCAGGATTTGAAACTTATGGGTTTGGGATTTTAGTCCTTTTAAGTTACCGGGTGCTAAATTAATAATTTGTACATATTCAACAGATTCCTTAAGATAAATAGAGGGTTTGAACCAAAGCTATTGGGTTCGGCCGAATCCATAACCGAAGAGCTAGTTCTGCCCCTAGTTTCGAGAGAGCATTGTGATTTTAGTTCCTCGAGATGGCCTCTTTACAATTTTAATCCTCCACCCATTTAAATGTTAGCAAACCTTCTCCCTGATCCTTTCTCAGCTATAACTCTATGTTATTAACCAGCTCGCTTCATTTTGTATCCTAATGAATATTTGTTATATGGCATCTACATGGTCTATGGTGGACCAAGTTGTAACGTGCCTTAATTTATTTTAGTCATTGCTTCTCCATGCAAGCAAAATTCTTTTGAGACTCGAGAACAATTGAAGATAGTGGTGAAGTATTCAGAACTTCAAGGCCAAGAAACTATATACCATATTAAAAGATCCAAAAAAAGGAAATGAGGCCATGATCAAGGACTAAAATTGAATAATCACATCGCTCGAGTCCACAGCCAAGATGTCTAACTGGAGAAAAGCAACATAGCGACAAGGTTTATTGACCAGATCTCATTGCAGAAAACAATTGTCAACTACAAAGAATGCAGCACATTAGTTCAAGAAGACGCTGCCAATGCCTAGTAAACTAGCATTGAGTGCTGTTATTGTAATTGAATATTAACCTCCAGATTCATGTACATGAAAAGAGATGCCACTGAGAACGTTGACAGAAGGCTAAATGGCTAAACCCCAGATTAATGCATTGAATGGACAGATAATAAGGTATGGCTAGTAGATCTTTTTTCATTTGTATATTAGTACGGCATGTAGATCCTATAACTAAAGTCACAGCATAGCTTCTATTTTCTAACTTCACAGGCATACAATTTGTCCAGTCTGCACCACATGAACCATCTTATGGACTCATTACCGAAGTAGGAAGGACTTACATCTTTTCTGCTTGTGATGTCAAAGGACACTTGAGTCTAATTTCTTTTGCTGATGCTGCAGCAAGGTTCAGATCTTTAGCCTGAATAGAAGAGGACGTCAACATCCATAACTGATAATGTAAACCCCAATTACTATAATACAAACTACGCTAATATTGACTTCCTAAAGACTTGTGATTTCAAGTGATTATGCAGCAAAAAAGAGAAGATGAAAATGAGTCGAAACAAAAAAAAAAAAAAAAAAAAAAAAAAACCTCATAACAAAGTGAAACGGATCAATGTTTAACTGATGTTACCCTGTACACCTAATGAACTCAGATCTCTCTCTTTAGTGAACACAGGCGTTCAGATGCATAAAACACAGACATAAAAAGAATAGCAAAACATTTGCATACTCAAAATAAGACAGTGACTGAGCAAAAGTATCTCCAGCAATCAGACAGAAGTAAAACCCATCAGAGAACACTTAAAAGAAATGCATATTAATGTGGTGCGCTAATAAGTGAACCTCAACACTCATTTATAAATGTAGAACTGAACCTTCATGCTCTCCAATGTCTTAGCAGGTATATAACATGGTTGTACTACCATCAAGACAGGATTGAACACATACCATCAACTTGGATGCAAAACCTCCAATATAATTCCTGGAAGAGGGCACCCCATCCATCACCCCAGGCACTGGATTGTATGTGTCACTGTCATTTGGATTCATACAAGCATAAAGTTAAGTAATAAGCTACGCTTTGATTTTGTGTATGTTATCAGGGGACAGATTTAGATACTACGGACAAGGTTTAACTTGCATACTTTGCTTTCATGGAGTATCATTTAACTACATACTTTTTTTTTGTATGCAAAGTTTTACTTTTTGGCATGATTAAAAATTAACTTAGTTCATCGTGAACCTTGAAATAGGATAAGGTAAAGTTCTTGAGCGTGCAAGGCAAAAAGCTGAAATATAGTTTCACAAATGCAGGTTCTTTCACTAAAAGATAGATTCTGAGAGTGAAGAAAGAGGCTCCTAGCCTTTTCTCTTCAAAAGAAAAGCAGAGGAGAAAGGGGTGTACTTGATCATATTGGCTGAATAGGAGGAAAATACTAACCCGCACCCGGTGTGTACACCAAATAATATTAGTTTATTCATTGTTAAATATGGTTAAGTGATAAATTAAGGTGAGAATACATATTAATTAACTATGGTTACGTGATAAAATATATGTAAAAGACGTGTCATATTCATCAGTTGGTGTGAACACCGGGTGTGAGTAAGTTTTTTCCATGAATAGGATGGCCTATGAAGTCGCTGGACTTACCTAATAGGCTGCATTAAATAAGTTAGATTCCTGCAAGTGATAGAGTAAGATCTGTGTCTACAAATTGGATCTTTAGCCATGAGGCAGTGATCGGGAAGCAATCAATCACCTTATTGCATAGGTAAGTTTAACATTAAATCCTTTTTTAACCTATAGATATGTTGTAAGGCTAAACTTTTTGGGCTCATGACCATCATCTCAATGATAAAAGGCCAAGATCTCATCAGTAGTGAATTGAGGTACGTTTCACTGATGCTGTTGAACTTCTATGATCTAATCTCAGTGATAAAAGGCAAGAGTGTAATCCTAATCCCTTAAAATACATTCCTCGTGCCCAATTTCTGTTAAGCTTTATACATGGAGATATTTAAAGATTGGCTATGTATAGTCTGTTCATCTAAACATAAGCAGTCTTTCTGCTAGCTTATTATATTTTGGATAGAAGTAAAGTCAAAAATTGCGATCAACAATGGAAGTAGAAAAGGCTCTTGTTAAATTTGTTCTCTTGGGATTGGTGGGTAGGAAGCATGCTAAAAGTTTTTGCATTTGAAGCAAGTCACTTTGTCATTGGACAGATACGTTTTACTGGTCAAGTGCTGAAATCTTTTGAGAAACTTTCTTATTCTTCAGCATTTGGTTTTTCAAACTAAAATGAGCATAGGCACAAGTCACTTTTTGCGAGATGCATAGTATTATGTTACTGCGGCAAAATGCACATTCACTTAGTAAACATAAAGGACAAATATTTACTAAAGCAGACTTTATTACTAAGTGAATGTGCATTTTGCTGCAGATAATTTAATGAATGTCCTAATAAACATTATTGGAACATTGTGCGGAGAACAAATATTTACTAAAGCAGATTATTTTCATGCAAATAAGCCTTTTCTGTAGGACGTTGTCGTATTATGGATTATAATAGTTCACTTAGTACCAGGTTGCAGTGAGTACCTACTCCAACAGCGAGCACTTGAAGAATTGAATATTTTTGTTAGAGTGCTAGCTGCAATTCCCAAAGACTGACCAAGAGCAAAGGCTTCTGACACCCCAAGCATACTAATAGCCATCGCCAAATTGTTGCAGATCTTTGCAGTCTGAGAAAGAAAAAGAGTTAATGCAACGCTAGCTTTTTGTACATGGTTTTTCTATGCAGAAATGGATTCGAGGAATATTATCTTGCTACTTTAAATGGATATACACCCACATGAACAAGACACTGCTTGAAAACAATACAAAGTTAATGTTAATTTGGGACAGGAAGTAAAGTCTTAAAATCACCACAGTCCCAAGCCCAAACCACTTAGAAGCTTAATTGTGACAATATGATGACACTGTTTGCGCAAAATCGTCCATATGCTACTGAGTGCAAGTCATAGAAAGTAACTCCCTGCTACCTAGTCTGATGCAGAAAAGCTGGACATATTAAACTGTTTTAATGATTCACATCGTATAGTTTTATCAGTTCCACTTACCTCAGTGTTTAATCAAGTCAAAGCTGGGAAAACAACATATAACATAAGGACCAAAAAAAGGAATTGGCTTTCAAAGTACATCAGCACTCAGCAGACATGTAGAATTCAAAGTGCAAAATTTGTAAAGGTTCAGGACATACTGCACCATTCCCCGATCCACCACAGTAAATAGAGTTTTTGCCCATTGAGAGAAACAAGGGTTTGGCAGCCGTGTAAGCCTCCTCTGTACCACCAACCTACATGCATATGTAGCTTATCAGCTCAAAGCAATGGGAATCTCACTTTAGAAGCCAGAAAGTCAAACAGAGATTTTTCTGTCTGGAATAACATTGTAATCTCCTCATAAATGATATCCATAAACACATGCATCATCCAGTCAGATTCTGATAAGGATAAACAAGGCCCCCCTTACCCAATACCTCCAACCAAAACAAAAAAGAAATCCTGCATTTCATTAATCCAGCTTTTCATTGGAATGCCATATGTAACCACCTAAGTTTCTCGGACACGGGTGCGGGTGTCCGATACGGGTGCGGATCTAGAAGTCGGATCCTTCGAGATGTAAATTCTAAGATTTGGAGATACGGATCCTAGTACGGATACGGTTGCGGGGATCCGGATAAAAATAATTTACAAAAATAAAAATAGAAAAATATCTCTAAATTATGAGAAATTTTATGGAATACTTAGTATAGCCTATAAAATGTGAATTTCTTTTTTATTCTCAAGTTGTGTAGATAAGTAAATGATTGATTTCCTAGATAAGGCATGCTATTTTCGTCAGATTTACCCTAGTTTTGGTTCTGATTTCGGGAATCAAATTGTATCTCGTCTCGAATTTTTCCATCCGTCGTGGTCAAAATATCCAAAATTGTTTGACCAGATCCGGTACGGATCCCATACCCACACCCATACTAGTGTCATGTCGACACGGGTGCGGCAGCTAAACTGCCATGTCGGAGCAACTTAGGTAACCACAGATAATGTGTGCTATGATTTGGATTTTCCACATCTAACATCTCTGAATAATTCAATGTCCAAACTACATATAACTGGGTCAACAGAAAGGCAAAAGGTGCATATACTCTCAATTGTATGTTATGAAATGTGAAATGAAGGGGAGCCTTGGCGTAACTGGTAAAGTTGCTGCCATGTGACCAGGAGGTCACGGGTTCAAGCCGTGGAAACAACCTCTTGCAGAAATGCAGGGTAAGGTTGCGTACAATAGACCCTTGTGGTCCGGCCCTTCCCCGGACCCCGCGCATAGCGGGAGCTTAGTGCACCGGACTGCCCTTTTTCCTGAGCCGAGGGTCTATTGGAAACAGCCTCTCTATCCTCACAAGGTAGGGGTAAGGTCTGCGTACACACTACCCTCCCCAAACCCCACGGTGTGGGATAATACTGGGTATGTTGTTGAAATGTGAAATGAATTAATTCTTCTTGCAGTAATGTATTGGAGGTGGGATAATTATTTGAATGATAGTTTAGAAAAGAACTAAGGTACATTAAGTGTTTACTCCTTTCTACAAGGGCATAACCAACAACAACAACTACTACTACTACTAGTCCATGAATCTAAGAGACCGCTGCTTATGAGCTTCTAAATCTGTTGAAGGCATTGAGACTTAACAGAGAAACAGTAAAACTTTGTCAATTATGATTGAATGTCTTATAATCAGTCACCTAAGACGTGTGTGGGTGTGAAATTACCACGAAACCAGTCACTTAAGAACTGCTTAGATTGTACAAATACCATGAAAGTAAGAGCCCCATTCTCTGCTGCAAGAACACCGCCAGATACTGGAGCATCCAACATAGCAGGAGTCTTCCAGCCATCTGCAAAGACAATGGTGAATTTGCTAAAAAACTGAAACGACATTTGAATATAATCTTTACCCAAGATAGGAAAAAACAATAGTCATTCCACATGATGCAAGTAAGCTTTGTTTTTATGCCAAAACGGTAACAGGTTAACACAGGCTACGATCCTCTGAAAATCTTCCTCAGGTCAGATCGTATCGATCTTATATTGCAAGCAAGCTGAAAATGCATGTCATTATGAGAACTCCAATCTTTTGATGGACAAGTTAACAACTTGATCAACAGACTCTATATTCATAAGATTACATGAAACTCTCGTCATAGAAGAAACTGCTCATGCTGAAGAAACTTAATCCACAAATAAGATAAACTAGGCTCAAACATATTGGCACTAAAATCAGCACCAACTATGCATTAAGTTTCACTCAATATAATGCATGTGTTTGACTTTGTATTTCATCAAATAGAACCGAGTTACTGGAATATTATTGCACACAACGCGGACAGACAACCACGATGATATGACGAAGAGGGAGAAACTACCATGGGAACATTACCAGACATACCATCCAAATAAAACCATAGGGTCACATGCACATATGCTCCCCCATTTTCGTATAAAACTATTTTTGAACAACATGCTTTTGGGCCATTGGTTGAATAAGTTAGTAAGAGAAGACATTGTCACAGATATTGCATGAGAAAGGGATGTTCCGAAAATGAGAAAAGCGTATGTTTGCTTGTTTTATTGTCTCCCTGGATGTATTGTGGGTGGCAGATGCAAGCAGTTACTGATAAGTCTTTAACATACAATAAATTAGTATGTTATGACCAAACATTTGGTAGTAAAAACATATCAAATGCTCTATCAACACTACGCATAAATCGTGAAGTTAATTTCATGTTGTTACTTAATGTACCTCTCTTGTGTATCAAAGAACAATTACACACATCTGCAGAGACCTTTCTTGATGTTTGAGGATCAATCGTAGAAGAATCAATAAATAGCCATGGTCTGAGTGGATTACCACCACTAAGCAAGCCATTTTGACCAGTATAAACATCCAGAACCTGTATGAATAATGAAATATTAATTCTTATGACAAATACTCTAACATGTCCAACTCATCATCAACAACAATGATGAGGCATTCAGGACGATCAATCAGCCTTAGAAATATAAGTGCTTGAAATAATAAGAGCTATATAAAATGGTATCCAAATCTCACATGGTTTGATGATGGTAACATTGTAATAACGACATCACTTGTCTCTGCAACTTTCAAAGGCGAGTCTTCCGTGAGAGCGCCTTTGTCCGAAAACATCTTCATAACATTATGATTGCTGACAAACACCAATTGAGGAACTCAAGCTCAAAGCAAACTTCATACAGATTGATTTGGATCTAACCAATCATTTTGAATCATCAACATATAGAGGTATTCCTATTTTCAACCACCCTTTTCTACTTTGTGCTTCACCAAAATCCAATATATAAGAGTGTCCTACTGTGTAGAGATTGCTTACTCTGAACGATATTACTTTAGATCCAATTAAGTATTGAAGTACATTGAATTGTGACATTACCAAGGCTTATAATCTAGTGGTACTTATAAGAGGTCTTCTCAAATTAACCGTGGGTTCAATTCTAACCGTTCCCCTTCCCCTTTCCCTTTCTCAATCCCCGTTTAGTAATAGAAAAAAGAAAACTCAACTAGAATCATACAGAGTAAGCAGCCATTAAAGGTCAATTGTGATGGGAAAAAAAAAGTGATTGAAGTTGAAAGAATTACATGTCATGAACTGCAAGATTGTATCCAGCCTTAATCAAGTTATCGGCCATTCTTGATCCCATGTTTCCAAGTCCTATAAATCCAATTCTCTGTAGAAGATCCAGATACTAATAACATTATTAGCAAACCTGAAACAGAGCTGCATAGGAAAATATCGCAAGTAAAATCCATAAAATACAAGGAAATTTACAGTTACATATCTGGGATAAGATAACTAGTTCATACAAGGAACATATTCAAAAACACAGTGATCACTTGACGAGTGAGGCTTGCTCAGTTGGTAAAAGTACCAACACCCACTGCCGTTCCTGCGAAGTGTGGAAACACTATACGTCCTTCTAAATTGGGAGGGGTTTTAAAAAGAAAAAAAAACACAGTGATTACCTTCAGTTAAGGTTGAGAGATAAAGAAAAATGAAAATCACTAACCAATTTTACAGAAAAGAACCATAGTCCAAAATCTTCAAACGATCCTATTAAACTAATATAGTTCAAAAGGTCATTTCTAGTTCCACAGCAACTAATTTAAGTAAAACAGAAACTACCCAGTTCAACTATTGTCAAAGGGAGGTCAAGTGTAATTTCTTGGAGCTAAAAAGTGGAAAATATAGCAAAATAGTAACTCGGGAAAAAAAAAACTTACTCCAAAAAGAGATGTGTCATTCAGTGAAGAGTAGCTGCGAAATGGAGAAAAGTGTGAAGCTGAACAAACCAATAACTTGGGCCTCCATTTGTGGAGACCCAAAAGTGATCTTAGCCTGAAAGTTGCCATAGCTGCAAATTCCTGAAGAAAAGAGATGAGAAATAAGGTGGCCCCATTGCCTAAATATGTCTTCTACTTCTTGAAATGACATTCTGTACTCTGCTGATTTTGTCCGACCTGGAATCCCAATCCAATGTTGTATTATATACTAGCAGAATTAAACTTATATATACATCTATAAAAAGAAATAGTAAACTATCATATTTTTAATCTATTAGACTCTTACCGAAGCGTCTCATCCAAAAGAACTTTTTTTTTTCCTTTCTGAAAACATTTTTTTCCGAATCATTTTGCGAGAAATAGAAAAAAGTAGTTTCTTTCTAAAAGTAGAAGCAGAAGCAGTTTTGACTTTTTTTCTTATTAAAAATACCCTTAACAAAATATAGTATATACCAAAATAACCGTTAAACCTAATACTTAGGATATTAATGTATAAATATTTTTTATTATTTTTAGAATAGCTTTCTAATATATAGTGACTTTAGGGGTGAATGCTTTTATATTTGTTGAATGATTTTTAATACATTTAACGTATATTAAAAGAATTAAGTACTTTTAAATTTTATTTTTATATTTTACTTAAATAAAATGAAAAGATTTAATTATTACATGTAATAACAAATTTTTAAGATTATTTATTTACTTATAATATTAACTACTCCCTCCGTTTCAATTTATGTGAACATGTTTGATTGGGCACGGAGTTTAAGAAAAAATGAAGATTTTTGGAATTTGTAGTCCTAAATAATTCAAAAAGAGGCCCAGAGTATTTGTGTGGTTATAAAAAATTATCATTAAGGGTAGAATTGTAAGTTTAAGCAAAATTATTTTCAAATTTAGAAAGGGGGCATTCTTTTTGGAATGGACCAAAAAAAAGAAATAGGTTCACATAAACTGGAACGGAGGTAGTATTAAGTAAATCTATTCATGTCCTTATTCGGAATTTGATATTTAAAAGCACTTTCTGAAAAGCTTGGCCAAACACAAATTATTGCTCAAAAGTGTTTTTCAGAGTGATTAGTCAAACACAAACTGTTTCTCTCCAAAAGTCTTTTTTTAAAAGCACTTTTGAAAAAAAACACTTCTCAAAATAAGTTGATTTCTCCAACTTGGCCAAACAAACTATAAATTATTGACTTATTTTCCGAATTACTATATCAAACTTGTTATAGGAGTAATAATTTCATATTGCAAGCAAGCTAAATGGATAGTATAAAGTAATCATACATTATCGGCTCCTTGCACAATAGTTAAGCTGTGGGTTGCATTTGGACAAATTGCAATTCAGGTTATTGCTAAATTTCAATTTTAATTGTTGTGTTAATTCAAATATACCATACTCCATCTGTTTTATTTTACGCACTTTTTTATTTTTAGTAAATTTTTTAAAAAGATTTCTTTTTATATTTTAAAATAATTTAATTTTAAATTTTTTATTTTGAATGCTAAAAATGGACTTACTGGACAAATAAAGAATAGGCAAGAATTTGGTTTTGAATCACTAATTAAATGTTAAAAACAAAGATGGAATCATAAAATATAATCAATTCCTGATAAATAGCACTTACCCCAATCCAAACCATAAACGCCTCCAAAATCGCATAAAACTGAAGTCTACAACTCAAGATATGATAAAAATGGCCAAACCCTAGAGATATAAAGATGCTGCCCAGGGATTTCGCATTTGTGGACAAAAAATGTGCACATGTGCACTCTCTTTTGCGAGCCAATACACGCACCTGCGGTTAACACTTAGCAGACCAGCGACCGCACCTGCGCAAAAGTGGTCGCACCTGCGATGCCGCAAAAGCGCTCACAAGACCGCAGAAGTGGACATCCTCGCACCGGCGATCCATAACTCGCAATGCGATGGTCGCACCTGTGATCCTTCACTCGCAGAAGAGATGCTCCTGCCCAGACCCCAACATCATAGAAGTGATGAAAAACGCGCAGAAGCAAATCCGCACCTGCGCTTTAAAATGCGCAGGTGCGAAGCACCAGAACAAGACTTGCCCAAAAACATGAAAATGACCCGAAGCTCGTCCGAAATACACCCGGGGTCCAGGACCCCGCCCAATCATACCAACAAGTTCCGTAACTTAACACGGACCCATTCGAGGCCTCAAATCACATCAAGCAACATCAACTCAAATCGAACTTAATGATCTTTTGAAATTTCAATTTCTACAACTCAAGCTGAATCATATCAAATCAACTCGGAATAATCTCAAATTTTGCATGCAAGTCACAAATGACATAACGGAGCTATTCCAACTCTCAGAATCACAATCCTAGCCCGATATCTACAAATTCAACTCCCGGCCAAACCTCTCAACCTTCCAAAAATTCAAGTTTTCATTTTTTGTCAAATTACATCAAATCAACCTACGAACCTCCAAATCCAAATCCGGACATACGCCTAAGTCCAAAATTACCATACGAAGCTAATAGAATAATCAAAACACTATTTCGGAGTCATCTACACAAAAGCCAAACTCTAGTTAACTATTTTTACTTAAGTTTCTAAAATAAAAATTGTTCTTCCAAATCATCCGAAAACCGAACTCGACCACACACGCAAATCATAATTTTCATGAACCAAAATCTACAATAGGTCGCAATGTCACCTAACACTACCGTTAGGCAAGACCACAAGTGAAACTACCATTTATTTATTCCCCTTTTAACATTTAAAACAAAAGGTCCCTTTAATAGAACAAAATGAGTAAGATCTCGTGTAACCGTACATGCTCTTTTTTTAACAAAATACCAGCATAAAAAGTACATCCACTGTAGTGATAAAAATGATAAATAAAGTAGTACATAAATACTAAAATCCCGCCCTCCCCCCCACACACACAAAAAAAAAATCTGGCGTCACAAGTAAATGAGCAATCTAGAGAATATACAAAACTACTACAACTACTGTCTAAAAGTGAGAGACAGAAATAGTAAATAAGGTAGAGGAAGACTCTAGTGCTGCAGATCTTAGCAAGGCAAGCAGCTCACCACTAAGTCTCCGCGCCCGCGTGACCACTGGTAGTACATGTCTCATTACTTGCACATCAGTGCAGAAGTGTAGCGTGAGTACGAAAAACAATGTGTACCTAGTAAGTATCTAGTCTAACCTCGAAGAAGTAGTGACGAGGGGCCGACTTCACACTTACTAGAGGTCAAATAATAATATAAATACATAAAGTAGACATGGTGAGTACAACAAGTAACAACGAAGCAAATAAGAGTAACTACAGTAAATGCACCCATGAGCCTATATCAAATCACAAACATCTCATAACCGACTTTGAAGGTGCTAACGCAATTATAACTAAACCAAAACCAGTTTCGATTATTAAGCATGAAGTTGTCGAAGCGAAGGTACTGATCCCATAGGAATAGTGTTATCAACCTGCTGAGGCGAATGACCCGATCCCATAAGAGTGGTGTTACCATCATGCCGAGGCAAACGGCCCGATCCCATAAGAGTAGTGTTACCATCATACCGAGGCGAATGGCCTGATCCTATAAGAGTAGTGTTACCATCATGTCGAGGCGAACGACATGATCCCATAAGAGTAGTGTTACCATCATGCCGAGGCGAATGGCCCGATCCCATAAGAGTAGAGAAAATTACCTCGCTCGCGGAAGCACTTGCGAGATGAGAAGGCACAGATTTATAGCTTTTCAAGTATTTCCCAATTTTTCTAAAATAAGAAGACAAGTCGATATTTCCAAATTTGAATCCTCAGTCCTACTCAAGTCAATTAACACACATGATAGGCATAAACATTACAAATAAAGGCATGATGTGAATCTAAGTCTACCCGAACATATCATGAAATATAGCTACGTACGGACTCTCATCACCTCATGCGTACGTAAATCCCCACATCAAGTAGCACACAACAATAATACACCTAAGGGGATAAGTTCCCTCTTACAATGTTAGGCAAGAGATTTACCTCGAATCCAAGTCCTCAATCCGGCTCTTCAACCTTACTAGAACTCCTCAAACGATGATGAGGGCTCCAAAACTAAACGAAAGTCGTATAAACTAATAAATATAATCTCGTAAGTTCATAATTTAGCTATTATAATAGCTACCCAACCCAATTAGAAAGATTCATGAAATTCACCCCCGGGCCCACGTGCCCGGATTCCGAAAATATTTGAATACAATTGTTACCCATGACCTCCCAAACTCAAATATATAATTTATTTCAATTTCCACTACCAAATCCATGATCAAATCCCAATTTTACTTAAACCCTAGGTTCTTCATAAATCCCACAAGTTTCATAAATTTTCCATATTTAACCTACCTATAATCCATGTATTTAACTTGAAATGAGTGGAGTTTACGCACGTTGTGTTGTTGATGAGAATCCCCCTAAAAAGTGCTCTCAAAATTGCCCAAGACCAAAGGAAAGTGTGAGGAAAATGGCCTAAGTCTCGGATTAAAAGCCCTCACTGCCCAATAATTTTCACACATGCGGCCACTCAATCGCATCAGCAAAATCGTAGGGGCGGTTAAAGGGTCGCATCAACAATCCCCCATAGCCTCCATCTTCCTCGCTTCTGCGGACGGGGAGGCGCTTCTGCGGACTTCTTCCGCTTCTGCGGATCCGCTACTGCGGACTCCTTCAACTTCTACAATCCCCAGCCAGTCGGCCCATTTTCGCACATGTGGCACCTCGATCGCATCTGCGGACATGCAAATGCAGAAAATGTCTCGCACCTGCGACCACCCAGCTCCAGCCTCATGTCCGCTTCTGCGACCACTGGGCTGCTTCTACGAGCTCGCACTTGTGGTGTCACGACCCAGTCGTGCGTTTTGAGCACTTGCATTCCGTTCAGCTATTTAAAGTATTGATTAGCATCATATGATCTAATATGACTTATTTGAATTGTCGGTTTTGGTTTTCAGGTTACTCGAGATTGATTTGGAAGAATGAATTTCATGATTAAAGCTTTAAGTTGGAAGAATTGACCAAGTTTGACTTTCGAGTAGTTGACCTCTGATTGGAGTTTTGAGGGTTCTTTTAGGTCCGTATGGTAATTTTGGACTTGGGTGTATGCCAGGATTTGCATTTGGATATTTCTAGAAGGTT